TAAATAAAATTGGTATTGGCTTCGGAATCTCCTGCAACTCTTCTGGACGGCCTCTTTGTTTAAGTTGGTGAATTGTACCATAAACCTTCCCTTCAGTTCATCTTTGGTGCTGCAAAGAGTTTTGTTGGTTTCTTGCACAACTGCGCCCCCACATACAATAACCAAGGAGTTGCAGTCTGTCCAGTTAGGTGGCCAGATGTCAGGGGGTAACGTAGTAGCAGTAATTGTCTGACAGCCATGACTAGGTTCTCCTCCTTGTGTGGCATAGTGTAGAGTCCTGTTGCCAGACATCGAGTCTTCCAGAAGCCACCATCTTGACAGATGGGTAGCACCACCTCCTCAAGGCACTTCATGTAGGTTTCAGTGTTGAGTTTGAGGCCTTCACCAACAAATTCAGGAGCCCTTTTCTTATCAGAACGATCAGGGTGAGTTTTTCCTTCGTAATCAACATTAGATACATCCATCTCTTTCCGAAATCTCTGTACTGTCATCAGATGGAGACACAACACTCTGAAATGTTCGTATTGGAGCTTCTGCTAGAGTAAATTGCGTCATTGTACTCTTTTACTCACAGACGGTGCCCAGCTGACCCTACCATACTGTGCAGTCGATAAAATCAAAAACAAACAAGGCGCATGCGCGAAATTAATAATATAAAAAATATTGCTAAATATATCGCCAATGAATGATTTTATGAGATATTGTTATATTCTATTCTATAGTTAATAGACTCTCCCATCTATAATAAGTAGTAGTAGTAGTAGAAGTCGCTCAGGGAGTTGTTCAGTCAGTCGACTGGCTGATCGGTTGAACTCTCTGCCTTCGGTCGATGCCGGACGACCGTTAGTCGGATACTAAAGTATCAGCTACCACAACTAGATTTCTCTGCGTCATACCTATTATATGAAGTTCCTAACGTTTTGTACGTCGAACCTATTTTAGGACCGACTTAGTAAATACAAGCCTCAACTGTGAAACCACTTCATAACAGATATATAACGTATTTTCCGGCTTACAATATGCAATTTTTTTCCGGAAAAATGCATGTTCGTCTTCCAAGCCGAATGTAAGGCAACGTAAGCTTGAATGGTTACCTAATTGTCTTGACTGATACGGACGTGGATTTGTATGTTGAGTCATTACTCTATAATGTTAACTACCTAATTCAGCCTTTTGTATGATATAAATTCAATACTTAGCTGTTACAAGTATTTCCAAGACTATAAACCTTCCTGAAGCTGAGCCACAACCTTAAACATGCTCTGTTTACGAGCAGGGAGGCTTTCTCCTTTTTTGTCATTGCCATGAAAACAAAATCGGACAAGTGATGAATGTAAACAATACGTGGAGCCAGTTTGTCAGGGACGCATGGTGAATGTGTTGTATGAGAATTAATTTACACTATTTACATTATTCGGACTATTGTCCTCATCTTTGTCACCATATTTATTAAAAGGTTTAGGCCGCTATACTCTCCGGCCTTCTTCAGTTGGTTAGAATGTCGAATTGAAGGAATATTTTAAAGCTCACTGGGGCAGCCTGTTCTACTTCCACGTGCCATTTTAATGGATGTCAGATTTTTCAGTTAGCTCCTGTTAATTCCCCTCTGTAAGTTCTCCCACTGCCTTAACTGGGCATTGAACAAAAAATCTCTGGGTCCTGTCACTGGATCTAGCTAACGCCTTTATCCTTTATCCACTGTGCCATGTCCCTGTGTATGAATTTCTGGGTATTATAAACCTAATGTCTTCAGCAATCATTTTTTTTTACCAGAACTCATTATTGCAATTTTTCTTGTTATTATCGCCTTTCTCTGGCACTTCTTATTACTGGTTCCCATATTGTATTCATTTCTATGCTTAGTCGGCTCAGGAGATTATCAATACTGATTTGGCTTTTCGACTTCAGTCCCACTTCCACTGCCGTGACGTGGCTTGCTTTTCTCTTTCCTATACATATATTGCTGGCAATTCTTCTAAGGAGCTTCCCTTTTGGTCTCCCTACTGCATGATTTTGAGCGCAGTACTAGATTGGCAACTAGGTCTCATTGTTTTACTGTGGCAACTATAAATGTTAGAATATACATATTAGAATATAACTGTACTTTATATTATAATACTTTTCCTTGCATTTCTCACATGTGAAACTCACTTCCGGTTTCTTACTTCCTTCACGAGTGATCTACTGCTCTGGACACATCGCCTACATTGATCAACTATGTACAGACACAGGATTCCACCTTCATGACTTTGTGACCTTAATGCAGTACCGTAATGGATAGCGTGATAGACTGTAGAATATCCGAGCTAGCCCGATTAAAGAAGACGAAATGGTGGCGTTAGTGAGCACGGAGACGAAATTAGTCTACGGGCGGCCTCCAGGTCACAGATGAAACGCACCCATGTTTTGGGGGACAATATGCGTCTTATATGTAGTCAGATAAGGTACTTATTCACTGAAATTGTTCTTAAATCTTTACTATATGACATTTGAAGGGTTATTTATATTCAATTTTTGAATTATGTGCATTGGCAAGGAAGAACTGATTATGTTAAAAAAAGCAGAAATATTTTTTGTGTAAAATCAATTTTTTAAATTATTCCACTACGAAACTATTGATTTCCATTCATGCAACACGCGGAACTGGTGTATATTCTACTCTGTCATCGAGAATCGAAACTATGCAGTCACAAATTGTGAAAACAAAAGCATGGCTAATGTTTTTATCCAAGACAGGATGTAATGTGTACAAAGTTTATGGTTAACGGATTTGATATATCTTCAAATATTTAAAACAGTTATTGATTTTTCACTTGTTTTTCGTCTAAACAACAAGGAATGTGGCCAAACCAAACAAATCACATAGAATAATATCACTTCTATAATATTAAACATAGTGTAACTTTATACATTTGTCAGTCTCGCAATCTGATAAAGAAGTAATGAACATATTCCGATGTTATAGGAGTCATTACTCGATCCTAATAATATTTATATATCACTATATATATTTACATATATTAATATATCACTTAAAAATTGGGAGATTAGACTACTAAGACGTTATTTTTATTTATTTCCTGTTAGATCTCTTCATATATTCCTTTTTTTAGTTTAAGGATTTAAAGGTCTTAATTCTTTCTTATATATGATAATAGAGTTAATTGTTTTAATTAAATCCTAGATTCCTTCTGTACAAAATCCAAGAATTCCCTTAGGAAATCATAACTACATATGTAAAAATCTGCAAATTATTCACGTACAACAACGTAAATTACTCATGTTTAAAACGGTAAATTACTTATGTGCAAAACCGAAAATTACTTTTTTGCAAAACTGAAAATTACTTATGTGCAAAACCTAAAATTACCCCACTAAAAAAAACTTTAAATTACATATCTGCAAAACCGTAAGTTATTCATGTACTAAACTGTAAATTACTTTTATAAAAACCGTAAATTATTCTTGTAGAAAAACGTAAACTACTCACATAGAAAGCATACATTACTCATTTTGAACAATCCTAAATTACTCTTGCATAAAAACCCAGATTTGTCAAGTAATAATTCAATGTATCTAAAAAGAAATCCTTAATCCCGTGAGATGAGCGATTATTATTGTTTTCCTTGAGAAAAAATAGATATTATATTATATTATAAGGACTGTTATCCTCACATTTTCATTTCATATTCAAAACGTTTCGGCTTACTTTTTTGAAAATCGGATGAGAATGGTTCTTTTTCTTCCAGACTTTTCTTCAGGTTAATTGGTTGCCATTCGAACGATCATGAAAAAAATATAAGGGATGCTTATTCAAGTATCCGAAACAATTCGGCGAGATAGTTCCTGACCCATTTTCCGGACTCTTTAGGAATTATCCATTATTACGTGTCGGATTCCTTGATATTCATAACGTTTCGGCCGTTGTCTTCCTCTCCAGGTGATTGGAATTTCTCAACAAAATTTTGGTCCACCTCTGATTTCTTCCGATAAAAGGGTGTCTCAGACTGCCACTTTATCTTCCATGTTTTATCCCTCTGCTTTGTAGTCCATGCTTTTGGATCTCAACATTGTTTCAGATAAAACGTTGGGTTTTATGAGTGGCAATACCTAAAGCTGCAGGTTCAATACCAGACCTCAGGAAATAATGATTTAATCAACGAGAACATATTTCACCAATCTATTTGCAAAAAAAGAGACGATGTAAAAAAAATAGAATAAAATTGAAAACGTAAGGTTAATTCCAAAGAATATATCGATATCAACCTGAAGTATCTAATTCCAAACATCTCAAGCAATAAGAAAAATAATTGACAACAAAGTTGTGTAGCTTAAACGAAATAGAATACGCTAAGTTTCTTTTGCTGCTGCAAGCTCTAAGAATAAATAAAGAAAGAAAATATAGACTGATTATTTTTTATCATAAACGATGAATAATATTCATCACAAAAATACATTGATCAACAGAAAGTGTGCTATTGTCAGAATAACAATTCAAGCGCACACCTAGCAACATAATCTCAGGAGGAGATCGGATTTCCGGTTAGGATAATTTAACTGCATCCACCGAACAGAAGAAAAAAAAAGCCTCAAAGCCGTAAGATTTAATCAAACCTTTCTAGCAGCAGCAAAATAGTTAAAAAGAGGGAAAAGATCTTTTCGTTTAAAATCTCAGAGTCTGTCACCAAGGAATAAAAAAAAATGTTTTAAAGTGTGATTTTGTCATTACTTACATTGAGGATTATCTCTTGACAAGTAATTTTAACTTTTGTTAAAACCTCAAACATTTCAAGATTCCATCCGAACGTCTTAATAAAATCTAAGGATTCAGAACAACATTCAGGCATACAGTACATTTAAAAAGTTTAAAATTCAAAATAAATTTATTAAATATTCTTTTAATTATAATAAAATTCGCATTGTCCGAATTTCTTTATTTTTTCCTTTGATTGTTTTGCATACTACGTACATTAAACCACATACATCAAGAATAAAATGCT